AAAAATATATGTAATATACACATTACTGCTCAGAGGTTTTCCTTTCTCCTTAATGATCCCTACCCCTTTGGTTATCTCACCACCTCAACTGATGCCCTGCTCAGTGGACTCTGGTAGAGCCTATCTCATTATGCAATCCGCCCAGCACTGTGTCCCTTCCGAGCACTCAGCACTGCCAGTGATCCATGTGCTCTGTGGTTTGTCTCCACATTGCTGTGTGTTCCTGCCCAGTACATGCTGCGCTCCTAGAGACTATCTGTGAAATAAATGATGGAGGAACACAGGCCCGAGGCTGCTTCGCACAGACTCAGACATTGAGAAATCTCCAGTTGGGGACACACTGCTGTGCTGAGATGATGGATATAGGCCTGTCATAAAAATTATCTTTACTTTCTCCAATTGGCAGATTCAGTCAAGTAGACTATCTCAACCTAACAAGCCTTTACAGTCTTCAAATAGACACAAAGCAGGCGGCAACTATTTCCTGGTGTTGCAGTTACATTGTGCCGGAAAGACAAAAATTTCTTATCAGCTTGATGGGTGGGTGAGTAGGCAGTCCCCAGGAAAGCCCAGGGACTTAAGGAGAGGAACAAAATCTCTCATCCTCTTAAAGTCTTAGCACCTACTCCAGTCACCTCCAGCTTGCTTTTCCGTGATAAGTCACGCGGCTGTGCCTCCCTCTCTCTGGATTTCGGGAGTGGCAGAGACAGCCTTCAGAGAAGGGGTGAGGGAAGCAGAGAAGGTATAATTGGCTGCCCTAAATGGCCAAATGCCAGGAGTTAAGTAGGGAAGACTTTTCTGGTTGGCACTGTTGTTGCCAGCCTCCAGATTCCTGGGTCTCTCCCTGTGATATGGCCTTGGGGTGAATCCTGTTAACACTGGGATGCGGTCTTTACCCTAAGCCTTTGTGGCTGGGTTGAGAGAACCCTTGTCAGTTGGAGAGTCTCAGATCTGTTTTATTGAAGGCAGATACTTCTTCACCTATTTCCTCTCCCCTTAGAACCTATGAAGTGTATGTTATCATGCCCATGTGAGGTTAAGGATCATGCCCAAAGGGCTAGTGTTGTGGCACAGAGAAGCAGTAGCTTGCAATACAAGCATCCTATACTAGAGTAATGGCTCAAGACTTGGCAACTCTACTTCTCATCCAGTTTCCTGCTAGCACGTCTGAGAAAGCAGCAGGAGATGGCTTGAGGGTTGAGTCCTTGTCACAAAGTGGGAAACCAGATGGGGTCCCAGGCTCTTGGCTTTAGAATGGCCTAGCCTAAGGTGTTGAAGACACCTGGGCAGAAGAAAGATCTCTTTTTCTTTCATTCCCTCCCACCTTCATAACTCTGCTTTTCAAATAAGGTCACATGGAAAATGGCCAATTATTAAACCCATATTTTTTTCCACATAGATGGTCTGTAATAATTGCTATAATAAAGGTTCAGACCAGTAATTTAATGTGTAATGCACAGGGTAATTAATAGAAAATTATAATTTGTTTATATCTTGACCATGAATTCTCTTTACTTCCCTGCCACAGGTTGGACTCATTCAGGGCACAGCACATGTGGTCTCTTACATTACACCCACCATGAATTCCTAAGAAATACCAATAGCATCTTATGATCTCACAACACAGACTTTTTTCCTGATTTGCTTTTTAAAATTAAGACAATTCACATGCCATAGCATTCACCGTTTCTCAACGTGAAGTTTATTTGTCTTCAGTGTGTTTATAAATCTGTGCAGCTGTTGCCACCATTTAACTGGAGAACACTGTCATCCTCTGATCCCTCCAGAGTTTCGCAAAGGCATAAGAAACCAGGTAGAACTGCAAGAAAGATGGAGAGGACTCAAACAAAAAACAGGAGTCAGGAGGTATGGTGGGAGCTGAGTTGTAAGGAAAAAGAAAATGGCATGCAGGTAGATACCATTGTGTCCATGGTCATGTCCCAACGGGCACAACTGAGCAAGGATTCCCCATGCGGAAGATGTCTAGCTCAGGAGCAGGTCTCTAAAAGCCATCAAGAGTCAAAGAAGGGTAGTGGAGATAGTTAAAGAGCAGCCAAGACTCACAGGGAAAACTCTGGAGCTTGTAGTTAGTCTGTGAAAGGTATTTGAGAATAATCTTAACATCCATAACAGGCTGCATTCAATCTGTGGTGTGGAGGCTTGGGTTAGCAAGGAGTAAGTGTGACACCAGAATGAGGGTGGCGGTGGAAAGTCCTTAGACACTTCAAATTCCTGGAAAATTGGAATGATTTTTTAGACTTACAAAGAATATTCGAACAACTTTCCCTATTCCCATTCTCTGATGTCAACATCTTCCACTACTTGTACTTGTATTTGCTCATCATTTTCTCTCTACGTGCATGTAATTTTTTTTTTTTTTGTCTAAAACTTTTGAGAGTAAAAACAAAGAAGATGTCTACTTTCTAAACATCTTCTCCAGCCAAGTCACAGAATTTCCTGTGGCTGGGGGATTTTAGGTCTAGAAGGAAGTCTTGAATGAACCTCTGTAGCTTCCTCCCAGATATTCCATGCTGATGATTCTGATTGTAGTAAATGATGTATACCTAATGGTGGTACATACAACAGCCTTATCATCAGAACTGACTGGCTGGTATAGGATTTCTTTTCCTCCTGACAGTCCTGTGTTTTAACAGGCTTAACAAAAAGCAAGCGTGTGGGGAAGATGACAGCTTTTCCTAAAACATTTGCGCTGTATTGGCTCAGTCAATTCACATTTTTAGATTCTCCCCTTAGCAGTGCCCTCGCCTCAAAGAAGACAAAGAGCCGCTAAAAAAAAAGGGGGTGGGGGGGTGGGTATCCCTTACCACAATCACTTAACAAATATTCATATTTAACCCGAGTGAATGTCAGGGAATACATTCGACAACAAAACTGGGGTGGGGGGAACCCCTGACCTTGTAAACGTGGTCGGACAAATTAAACGTTCAACCAAAAACAGCGATTCAACTTCCTCAAGCAGAAGAACGCCAAGTGACTGGATAGTTGGGAAGTTGGGAGACTCATGACGTTTGCGAAGTGCCTGGTAAACGCGCCGTTTTTAATAAAGGCTGTGTTTATTTAAATGTGCTCCACAAATGATTAATCCAAACACCGGAGCAAGGGAAGGAGGGGCAGGGCAGGGCTTACCAGCCCCTTCCTCTCTACAACTGGACGGCACCGCAAGCGCCCCCACGAGGCGCTACCCCCGGCCAGCCAGCGCCCAGCACCAGGGCGCCGCGCACCGAGGAAGCCTCGCGGGAGGTGGCGGAGGGGGGGAACCGGCTCCTCCAGGCGGCCTCGCCCCACTGCTATGCAATCCGGGTGGTTTTTCCGGGTCCCTCTCGGCCTCGTTCGGCGCCTACTCCCAGCTCCCGCTGCGAAGCTGACCAGGTCCATTTGTGACTCCGCGCCCCAAGTCCTGGCTGCACAGGAAGTATGCGCCCCTGCACCTCGAGGCGCAGGCGAGGGTGGTGCCGCGTGTCCCCGCGCACCCTGGGACTGAGGGAAACGGGCCTCCGCCCGCTCTCGGGGGACGCGAGCTGCTGCCACCTGCGCGGGCGGCTCCGCCTCCACCTGCACCTTCACGACCAGGAAACGCGGCGGCGCCAGGGCCGCGGGGTCCGCAGCTCCACCAAGGCAGCTCGCTCGGTGCCAGAGTGGGCTGCCCCAGTGAACATCTTGTCTACGGAGAACGGGACACCTGGAGCCGAGTTAGTAACTCTTCAGGCAGAATTCTCTCCCCAAGGGCAGACCAGTTTTAAGTATAAAACCTGGGAAAACTTCGCCTCTGGGGTTTTTCTCTTGCAACTGTCAACACAACCCACCCCACAGCCACGTGGCTGGGTTGCTGGGGCCGATGGCCCGACCCTCTGGGCCAAGGGAGAAAGGTACTTTGGGGGGACTTCTTCACATCGGCGCCCCTACTCATTTCCATCTCCCTGAGGTAGAAGGACAAAGGCAGGAGCAGAGGGCCATGGAATCAAAGGGATGAAAAAAAAAAAAACTTGGCCTGATTTAGGGAAACGTTTATTATGCACACGGGTAGATGCATTTTATTAGTCAGGGCCCAAAGCAGATCCAAGGAAATAAACCCCAGCCCCTGGGGGAACCTTCTAGTCTCCTGTGAGCAGCCGTGACCAAACAACGACGTAGCGATCTAAAGTATCGTAAGGGGTCCCAGGTGTCTGAACGTCCTCTCGGGGGTCCCGCAGAGGTTTTGTGCGCGGACGAGCAAAGGCGTCCTGCCACGCGTGCCGTGCCGTCTGGCCGGGCGCGCACGGGTTCCTCCGCGAAGGTGGGCGCGCGGGCGCTGGAGTGAGCCCGGGGCAAGGGAGGGCCTGCCGGATTTCTCCAGCTGTTTGCAGTGAAAGGTGTGTAAGGGCTCGGGAGCGGCTTTTTCCGGGGTTCGGCAATTGTCCCCGCCGCCTCCCGCTGCCGTTGGCCGGGCCCTCCCCCACGCTTGGTTCGCCCTCCCCCGCCGCTTGGTTCGCCCTTCCCCACTCGCCGCGCCCTGGGCCTCACCTCTGGCCTCCTTTCGCCTCCCGGCGCCGGGCCTCCCTGCGGGACCCGCACCCTCTCAGTTACCTCGAGTTAAGGACCCTGGCCCTGGCGGCTCCGTACCTTCCATCCCTCACGCTTTCCCAGTCCGGCCTGGTCTACCCTCTGGGTGGCAACCGCCTCTTCTCCGCCCTCCGACCTCCCCCACTCCTCCTCTCTTTCTCTCGCCCGCGCCTCTCCATTCATCCAGCCATTGTCTCCCGCCCCCTCCTCCGCTCCCCAGGCGGCCTCCTCCCCCACCGCTGCCACGTCGTGGTTTGAAGGAGCCAATGGGCCGGCGCCGCCAGGTGTCTTTTACCTGCACCACGTGGGGGAGGGGGGGAAGGGGCGGGCAGGTAGAGCCACATCCCAAAACAGAAAAGCTTTCAGCCATTGCGCGCGCCTCCCCGGGGTGCAGCCCTGCTCCGGGTTTCTTTCGTAGACGCACGGGCAGTTGAATACAAGAAGGGCAGGCCTCGCGCGCCCTGCTTCCCACCCGCCTTCCTGGCCTGGGTGCGGAGCGCCAGCCAGGTGTGGGCTTTGGTGGTTGGATTGCCGCCTTTTGCACCGGCCGCGGCGAGGAGGAGAAGGGGGTGGGGGCGGGCGCTCTTTCTTTTTCTCCTGGGAGAGGTTTCGGCACCCGCTCTCTTCTCAGCTGCACCCCGCTTGCCACCTCCCGACCCTTCCTCTCCCCATCCCCACCTTTCGTCATGACGGCGTCTCCGGATTATTTGGTGGTGCTTTTTGGGATCACTGCTGGGGCCACCGGGGCCAAGCTGGGTTCGGATGAAAAGGAACTGATCCTGCTACTGTGGAAAGTCGTGGATCTGGCCAACAAGAAGGTATTTCTCCACGACTCCGCGGAGAAAATCGCCGAGTGGGAGTGTGGGGAAGCATAGAAATGCGTTGGAGAAGTTGTGGGTGTGTGGGTGTGCGGAGTAGGTCAAAGTAAGTGCTCCTTGCCTACTTTGGGGCTGCTAGAGCTGAGTGAAATGGCTCCAAGGTGCCTAGAGAATCCGGAGTAAAACCAAACTTGTTGGCCCAAACCTCCTTGGAGCCATTTCAGGCTTTTCCTAAAACTGGCCCAGGTGGTGGAAAGGCCCAAGCGCCGTAGCCGTCGGAGGACGCCACGGAGAGGTGGGGTGGGGTCCCCGAGGCTGTGGGGTCCACCTCCGGAGCCTTTCCGACCTGATCCGGGTGGGGGTGGGGCGGAGGGCCGAGTACCGCGGGCCTCCGGCAAGCTTTGATTTCGCCGCGAACCCCTGGGAGGGAGTGCTGGCGACCGGAGCGCGCTCGCGCGCCGCGCGGAGTGGGAGGTCGGTAGAGGAGGACTGAGCCGGAGGCTCCGGAATGGAGGGAGCGGGGACATTGACCCCGGCATGTCTCTTCTCCGAAGGTGGGACAGTTGCATGAAGTGCTAGTCAGACCAGACCAGTTAGAACTGACGGAGGAGTGTAAAGAAGAAACGAAGATAGACGCCGAAAGCCTGTCCTCCGCGCGGCAGCTGGACCAAGCCCTTCGACAGGTGACAGCCCTGGGCCACGCCGCCCTCCTCAGCAGCCCTCGCCCTCCCGGGGCTGATCCCCCGCGTGGCCCTGGGCGGGTTAGTTGGGAGTGCGGGTGGCGACGGCCGGCCGCATGGGTGGGCATTCAGCCGTGGAATCTGGAGAGGGTCGTTTGGGAGGGGTCGCTGGCCCGCTAAGCTTCTCGGTGCCCTGGATCTTGGGCCGAAATTCGTTTTTTTTTTTTTCTCTTTCGAGTTGTTGGCGGAGTAGTTGGCTGGGGCTCGAGAGGCGGCGGCGTTTTACACTTGGAATGACGCGCCGAATTGGAATCCTAACGCTCCTGTATTTGGGGCGCGGGTCCGTGGGTCGGACCCCTGGCGGGTCCCCAGGACGCTCAGTCCGGACCAGGGAGGCGCTGTGATGTAGCATGCGTGAGTGCGTGCTGGCCCCGGGCCTGGTGCTGGCGGCGTGGCTCGAGTTCTGGTTCGAACCTGAAGGATCCTGTCGGGTGTGGGTCTTCGGAACTCCCATCATCTTGTTTTGTTGTGGCCTTTGCCGCGGGTCCCAACGGATGGGGGATTATTTTGTTGGGATTGAGATGACCTTAAAACCCTTGGCTGAGGAGTACAGAATCGGGGAGGGCGCGGCGCGAAACACCTGAGCAAGGGTGAATGCCCTGCCGTGGCGCGGCCTCTGGCCTGGGCGCGCGAGGATGGCTTCGGAGGAGAAAGTTCCTTGTGCTGTGTCTTCCAGGAAGTGTGTTCCCCGGGCTTGGCAGAGTAAGGTGTAGACATTCACCCGCGTTAGCTTTAGAAGAAACTTGGTGTCTCTCTTTAACTCCGGCACCCCCAAACCTAACAAAAAACAAAAGTTAACACCGGGGAATGATGTAATCAGAAAGCAACCTGCGGGTGAGACCTCTGATTTCAGTTGGCTGGGCTGCGAATATAGAGTCAAAACACACCTAGAGAAGATCAAGTCGGGAGAAGGCGTGAGCGCAAAGCTGCCCACCCGGGTGGGCGGCCAGAAAAACAGGCGGTAGTAATGTGTCCCCAGAAGGTCTTTCCCTCTGGCTGGGGCTGCACTCAGAAGTGGGCGCAACCTGCATCCTTTGCAGCTGCTTGTTCCCTTATGCTTTCAGTTCAACCAGTCGGTGAGCAATGAACTGAACATCGGGGTGGGCACTTCCTTCTGTCTTTGCACCGATGGTCAACTTCATGTCCGGCAGATCCTGCACCCAGAGGCTTCCAAGAAGGTGAGCTCCCGCTTTCCCCTTTGCGCGGAGACCATGCTTTAAGGGCTGTGGACAGAAGAGGCTCTGCAAGCGCAGGTGACAGTTGCAGAATGTATTTCCAGAGAGATGTTTGGGATTGCGGTAATAGTGTAGACACCTTTTGATGAGTTCAGTCTCTTTTTACTTACAGCAAGTTCTCAAGATGCTTGACATTCTCTTTTTCAAAGCTAACACAGTCTGAATTTTTGCAGTTTAAGATAAGCAGAAGTAGAGAGAAAAGAGCTGTCTTTTAACACATTGCCAAATAGCTGTTAGCATTGAGTATGAAAGGAAAGGAAAAATTCAACTTAAAACTGGAATTTTATTGCTAACAGTTTTGTATACAATACCGCTTTAGTAAGGCTAAATCACAAAATCAGTAAAACATGCAACCTTCACATTAATAATAAAGACAGGTTCGACAGGGATTCTGAGATTCATACAGTAGGTCTGCCTACTGTTTTTTTTCAGGTCAGCTCTGTGTTTTTTCCCTTTGCTTGTTTTTCCTCTGTGGAAAAGGCTGTGGAGTGAGAAATGATACCAGCTTAGTGAAGAAAAAATGTGATTTTTTTACCTCCCGGAAAAGGAGGAACCCAGACTGCCAGCTCAGTGTAGCCAATTGCTACTAATGCAGTTGCTGTTAACAAGTTAAATTAGTTTGAGCTGTAACTTTTTATTGTGCTAGGCGGGGACTGAGCTTGAGAAATTAGAAGTGAGTGATACTGCAACCTTGGGAAGCCAGCCTTGGAAGCTGTGAAGCTGTTACCTGCCGGGGAGCAGCTGTGGCAGGCAGCGGTGGTCCTGCAGGTTCTCCTTGTCCTGGCAGTTAGGGAAAAGTGAGAGATGCGTTAAGGCAATGAAGACAATTTAAAACCTTGGAAGGGGTGACTCGAGTTCTTATGTCTTAGAAGGTCGTCGTTTGGAAGCCTGAGCGATTAATCGATTAAAAGGGGTGAAAACATTTTTAAAAAATCAAATACTAGACTAGTTGCTGGAACCTTGAGCCAGAAATAGTTATATACTAATATGAGGATTGTTCCCCCTTCAAACTCATTTAGGGAAGAACAATACTTAATTTTTTCTCTTTATGGGCAGAGGAAAGCAACTTTTATTATCATTTTTTTTTTTAAATTTTAAATGGAGGGAAACCTGGGAGCTGGGTGGGAACTGAGATATTTTGCTGAGGCATTTCATTTATATTGGAGTTTTGAGTGTTAGCCATTCAAAACAGTTGTCCTTTCGTGTTTCTGTAGAAGACCCTTATTTTTAGAGGGAATATGCATCCTCTACAAATCTTTTGAGCCTGCTTTGTGATGTAAGATGGCCAAGTGCTGAATAGACTATTGCAGCACTTTAAAAGACTACAGCTCTTTAAATCAGTATTTCATCGGCGTGTGAGTTATCGTGCCGTCACAACTTTTACTGAACAGTTTTGTAAATTTGTAAGAGTTTGTGATTCTTTTTGATATTGAACTCATTTGAAAGTGGTGATCATGTTGCTCATTCACATTTCAAATACAGTATGAACAAGTCACTTCTAAGAGTCACAAATCCAACAGGAGGAATTTGGATAGAAGGTATTACTGTATAAATTTAGTGACGAACACTAAACTTTTTTCCTTTAGGTTTCCTAGTGTATAAATGGGTAGAAATTCTGAATAAATAAGTAATCTATCTTGAGAATTTAGGAGAAAACTTTTGTTCAGTGAAAAGTGTATTTTTCAGGAAAAAGACAAAGATAAACAGTTGAGCTTTGCTCATGATCTGCAAATCTAACACTTGTAGCCAAAAACAGCAGGTAGTCATTTTTCCTTTTTAAGTCTAATTTTAATTTGTGGATTTAGTCAAAATACTCACAGTGGTCAAGAAAACTAATGTGGGACTATAATTTAGCACAAAAATCTTTCCGTTAGGGATTTGCTGTTTGGTTTATTACTGGTAATATGCGTGATCACAACCCAGGAGTAGTATTGTGCATGAAAACCTAGAGGAATGATATTGCCTCCTGAAAATACAGGTGTGGCACAGCGATTGCCATGAGGAAAATGTAGCATTGCTGCCCAAGAGGTCGGAAGCACAGCAGCCCAGAGGCATTGATGCTCCGGGCGTGTTCTGAATGAAATTCCTGATGGAGCGGATGTAGTTTGTCTTTTTAAGATGCAGTTCTATTTGCTTTTGTTTTTTGTGCCCATGAGACTTGTATCCAGATTAGGGAATAGGAGCAGGACGAGCTATTTAAAGTTTGTGCTTCCTTTAAATCCTGCAAACTAAATCACTGAAAACTTAACTATGTATACATTCAGTTCTTAGGTTACTAGTTATCAGGAAACTGTTGGAATTGAGATCTAGTTTATGGTATCTACCTTATTTTTCCCCAGAATGTGTTGCTCCCCGAATGTTTCTACTCCTTTTTTGACCTACGGAAAGAGTTCAAGAAATGCTGCCCTGGTTCACCTGATATTGACAAACTGGATGTTACAGCTATGACAGAATGTATCCTTTAAATGACTATCTAAAAATCATTGGAAAAAGAGCTTCTGAAAAAAGTGGTAATTTAAGACATGTTAAAATGCTTAAATCTTATCAGAAGATTCATGGAACTTGCCTGTCCAAAATTTGTTTATTGCATTAAGAAGAAATAATCACAATTATGTCTTTTTGAAGCAGTTTATGAACTAGATTTGAGCATACAGTGGGTTTTTAGATAGATTTTTGTGCAGTGTCCTGTTCTATGATAGAATTCAGTTTCAAGTGAGAGGATTAGTTTTGGGTGATGAAATGAAGAATGTATACAGTTTATTTTCTTAGCATATACCCCAGATCTCCTTTTTCTTGAATACCTCAGTTATAGGAGCTTTTGGCTCTTTTGAATCAGAACGAATAATTTTTTGTGTATGCTTTTTATGCTTCTACTAGTGGATATATCTTTTACAAGGTCCTGTTCATCGGTACCTTAAATTTCTGCACTATGTACAAAATCAAGGTGATTATAATCCATCTTTGGAGCTGGGATTGGTCCCCTAATTCTTACCAAGATAGTATTTTAGATGCATTGGTTATTATAAAAGCAAATTGTTATAATCACAAACCTTGTAATCATGCCTGACCCATCATCTTACATCCATTGAAGTCTTTAAGGTGCTAATAAGAAGTCATGTGTTCCTATATCAGATGTGAGAATGACTAGTAGATGAAGATGAGGCAGCTCCTCCAAAGCCACTGGGAGAATCAGCCTGACATTGACTCTTAAGTCAGGAGTTTGTAGTTTACGGATGCTTATTTCTAAAATCGTTATTACTCATTCTCAAGAATTTAAACTTGGATTTTGCTTTGAAATTTCAAAATACAGTTACCTGGTTGAAAAAGGCTATTTGCATGTTTTTCCTGAATTGTTCTAAGCAGGCCCATCAGACCCATTTTTATTTACTGGACTCTTGAATTTTGGGTTAGCGTTGCCTGTAGTTCTGGGGCAGATTGGAAAAGCACATTTTGATATTAGAGGGTTGTCAGATTTACAGTTTTGTTGTCAATTAAAGGGTGAATTTTAACCTTAAAATGTTTTTGACTATTACACTTGCAGGTTTCTTTTCTGTGCAGCAGTTTAGAGCTACTGTTAAACTTTGATAGTGATGGCTTTTGTTTGGCTCCGGAAGAATTATGTCCTCCCTGACTAGTCTATAACCAAATTCCTCAGATCATAAACTATCACACTGAAGCTAAATATCAGCTTTGCTCTGATTTGTGCAAATAATTTCTGCAAAAGTTGAAATTGTAGATGAGCCCAGGGTAATCGCTCAGTGGCTAAAGCCTCACCTGGCACATGCTAGGATCCCATGTGGGCACTGATTCATGTCCTGGCTGCTCCACTTACCTTCCAGCTCCCTGCTTGTATCCTGGGAAAGGATGACCCAAAAGCCTTGGGACCCTGCACCTGTGTGGGAGACCTGGAAGAAGCTTCTGGCTTCAAATGAACTCAGCTCCAGCCATTGCAGCCACTTGGGGAGTGAACCAGTGGATGGAAGATACTTCTCTCTGTAATCTTCCTTTCCAATAAAAATAAATTAAAAAAAAAAAGAAAAAAAACTGCAGCATTTTGTTCCTTCAGATAATTAGCCTCTTTTTTTGTAATTATTTTTGTTTTGTTTCTGTAATTTATTTTTATTGGAAAGGCAGACCAAGGTTATAGAGATAAAGAGACAGAAAGATCTTTTGTCCACTGGAGCACTTCTCAGTGGCTGTGAGGGCCGGAGCTGAGCCAAACCAAAGCCAGGAACCATGGACTTTTTCCAGGTCTCCTTTGCAGGTGCAGGGTCCCAAGGCTTTGGGCCGTACTCCACTGCTTTCCCAGGTGGTATCAGAGAGCTGAATGGGAAGCGGAGCAGCCGGGACATAAACCGGCTCCCACATGGGATTCTCACGCTTTCAAGATGAGGATTTAGCCGTTGAACCAGGTCTTCGCCATTTTCTTTGCTGATGTGGAAATGACACTGAATTTGGAAACCTAAAGATCATCTTGAAGAACCTTGAGGGTTTTGCCAAGTAGATGGAAAGTCTTAAGGGATGACCTGTTCTACCAGGTCTACCAGTGGGGGAGGGAGGGAGGTACCTGCCAAGCCCTGGGAAGCAGCACGTAGGAGAGGGTGCAGGTGATCGCCTGATTCTCTGCTGGGAGAGAGTTGTCTTTTTGTCTCTGTTTTTACATGAGGATATTAGAAATACTGATTTGTTAAGCCTCTGTGATTTCACAGAATTCTAAGTGAATTCATTAACTTTACATCTACATGCTTTATTCCAGTCTAGTTTTTAGTTTAATAAAACTTGATTTTTAGAGCAATTTGAGGTTCAGAGAAACATTGAACAGCAAATACCAAGAGGTCTGACTCCTCACATATGCAGCCTTGATACAATTAATGAACTTACATGGATACCGTGTTATTGGCAAAAGTTGGAGTCTTCATTAGTTTTCACTGTTCACCTTTTTTTTCCCCGTCAGATACATTTATTTGAACAGTGGAATAGAAAAAGCTTCTTCAGGGTCTCCTACGTGGATACAGGGACCAAGTACATTAGCAGGGAGCTGGGTTGAAGTAGATGTTTTTGATGTTGTGCCTCCTAGCGATTTGCCAGGTGCTGTGATGGGTAGCCACCATTATAACATGATTATAGTAGGTGGGCTTTATTGCCTCTGGACTCTAATGTTATCCGGTTATTTATCCATTCCTCCCTCTTGCTAATCTTTTCGCTGCCTCTGTGGTTTTGCCTCTTCCAAGATGTCATTGACTTGGAATCCTGTAGTCTGTAGCCTTCTCAGATTGGCTGCTTTTACCTAAAACATGCACTGAAGGACCTTTGGTGTCTTTGTGGTGTGGTAGCTCATTTCTTTGAAGCACTGAAAATATTCCAGTGTCTGGATCTGCCAGTTTATCCTCTTAACCTTCTCAAAGGCAACTTAATTGCCTCAGTATTGTGAGTAAAACTGCTGTAAACACCCTTATGTGCATTTTTGTGCGCTTGTAAGTTTCTAGCTCATTTGGTTAAGTACTAAAAGGTGAGGTTGCTGGATCGTGTGAAGACTGATTTTTCCATCATTGCAGTCTTGTGTTTAGGACACCGGCGAGGGAAAACAATCAGGTCTTTTTGTTGTTGTTTTAATATGTTGAATTTGACTGACGTGGTCTTGTGCGTCGTTTGTGGTGAAGCTGTGCAGGAATTGTCGGTGCTTCTGTGGAAGTCTGAGTCAGTGTCAAAACTTGAGCACCTGCTGCCCAGTAGTTTGCTGGGAATTGCTTCCTTTTCCAGGCCTCTCTTAACATCTTTCCAAAGGAAAGCTGTGTTAACCTTGGGATGTTATGCAGATGTAAGTGTATGCCTCCTTTGATAAAAGGTTTAGTAATTTCTTGAATGCAGTTTTGGTTCTTATTTGAATTCCAGAAGTATTTGTATTTGTGCTTTTTCTTGTTGTTTGTTGGAAGGCAGCGTTAGAGGGTCCAGCATGGTAGCTTAGTGGTTAAAGTCCTCGCTTTGCATGTGTCAGGATCCCATTTGAGTGCTGATTTGTGTCCCAGCAACCCTACTTCCCATCCAGCTCCCTGCTTGTGACTTGGGAAAGCAGTTGAAGATAGCCCAAGTCCTTAGGACTCTGCACCCATGTGGGAGACCCAGAGGAGGCTCCTAGCTCCTGGCTTTGGATTGGTTCAGCTCTGGCCATTGGGACCACCTGGGGAGTGATTCAGCAGATGGTAGATCTTTCTGTGTCTCCTCTCTGTATATCAATCAGCCTTGCCAATAAGAATAAATAAATCTTAAAAAGAAGAAGAAGGAAAGGTAGTTAGAAAAGAGAAAGAAATCCCTTATCCACTAGTTCACTCCCTAAATGGCCACAACGACTAGAATTGGGTCTGTCCAAGCTTAGGAGCCGGGAGCTTCTTCTGGGTCTTCCACATTGGGGACAGGGTCCCAAGGACTTGGCCCATCTTCTGCTGCTTTCCCAGGCCATTAGCAGGCAGCTGGATCCGAAGTGCACCAACTGGAAGACTTACTAGAGCGCATATGGAATGCTTGCACTGCAGGTGGAGGCTTTTCTAGTGTGATGGTTAGGCCTGTCCCAGTTGTAACTTTGTTGCCTCCTTTTGCATTCTGCAATCCCAGCTGAGAAGACCTCAGCTGGCAGGTGAACTGTAGCTTGCCTGTTGTAAGCTGTCTGTTTAAGTAATATGATGAAGATGATGATGAGGTTGGTGCTTTTGTGTTTTCTTTCTGTCTTTCTGAGGAAGGAATTATCGTTCCTCACTTAGAGAAATTAATATGAATTGTTTCCTACTAGTATTTTATATAAATGCCTTTTTTTTTTTTCATCTTTACAACAAAAGAGCAACCCAGCGTGCTGATGCAGTAGTAAATCAGGCCAATCCTCCATGTGTGGTGCCAGCATCCCACGTGGGCATCCTGTCAGTTGGGAAAGCAGTGGAGGATGGCCTAAGTCCTTGGTATCCTGCACTCGTATAGGATATCCTAAAAACCTGCTGGCTCCTGGCTTCAGATCAGCTCAGCTCTGGCCATAACAGCCATCTGGGGTGTGATCCAGCACGTGGATGTTCTCTTTTCCCTGTGTTAGTGTTTCTGATTTTCAAGTAAAATAAATATATATATATACACATATTTTTTTAAAGCAACTTTGTTTTTATTCTCACTGGTGTTAAATGAAATTTCTTCTTCCTCTTGATTTGTTAGCCCATTTTTTTTGTTTTGTTTTTTTTTTAAAGATTTATTTATTTTTATTACGAAGTCAGATGTACAGAGAGGAGAGACAGAGGAAGATCTTCCGTCTGATGATTCACTCCCCAAGTGGCCGCAATGGCTGGTGCTGCGCCAATCCAAAGCCGGGAACCAGGAACCTCTTCCGGGTCTCCCACGCGGGTGCAGGGTCCCAAAGCTTTGGGCCATGCAGGGAGCTGGATGGGAAGTGGAGCTGCCAGGATTAGAACCGGTGCCCA